GTGTATATTAAGTACATTGTTAATAATTCTCCCCAGAATGATTGAGGAAATTAATTTTCATTTTTATATCGAACTATGTGGGCATTTTCTTTCCAGACAACTATAAAACTACCCATTGATTCTGTCCATGATTTACATTCATTTGGGATTCGGTTCCTTCCTATTTTACCCTTTGGCATCGCTATGGCCAGGCAATTAGAATCACTTTTTCCAGACATAATTTCTTCCATAGGATAGGATTATTGAAAGTCCAGTTGCCACCACCCACTTTTGGTTGCAGTATTGTCAAAAAAGGATGATGTAAGGGTAATGCTGTGTTTGAGTAAAATAAGAAATGACACTTAGATAAATAAGATTTCCCAACCACACCCACACGAAATAGGATTTTCAAGTTCGGTAATCTTTTTAAGCGTATCAAGCTTTTTTAGGTAAATAAAAAAAACTCCTTAACCCCCCCCCCCCCCCCCCCCCCACACCTTCAAAAAATGATGCTTGACGCTTTGATGTTGTCATGGTCTTTTGTTTGTAAGACTCATAACATAAAATGTATTAGAAGAACTTGGGTTTAATTCTACAATTGGTAAATCAACTTACTAGTATACTCATAGCTCCGTTCTAAGGAGTAAATTCTTCAAAACTATGTTCAGTTTTAAATATTTTTAATATTCCAAACAACCAGAATGAATTTGAATTGACATATCTATGTTGGATATCAAAACTTCATTAAAATCCGATCAAACCAAGATACAGAGGGGGTTCAGAAAATATACTACCAAGCTGTTTTAGACACCACAGAGTCTGACTATTTGGATATTTTACTATAAAAAGACGTCCATGGTTATCTCACAACGAGGCTTCATAATAAACGTGAAGATCTGAACTTTTCAATTGTCAACTTTCCTTACTTCTGAAGTAAAATACCTTTGTCACCTGCACATTGAGTTTGTATCTCTCGGTTGATTTGATACGGAAGTAAATGTTCCACAACGAGATAAGTTATGGGCAAACAAGTTGATGAAACAAGAATATCAGCAGTCTCCTTTTACATCATCATTTCGTTTGTTCTGTGGTCGATACAATTGTCAACAAATTCATTTTATCATTTGAGTCAAATACTGACTGAAGTTTTTTTATTTCGATTGTTAGGACGTTATTTTCACACTGAGTTGTCCAGAGGTTTTTCTGTTTTTCTCCGAAAATGACAAGGAGCATACGGCGGTCACCAATGGATGCTCACTCCTCCATGGCACCTGATCCCACCTCTGATGTTTTGGAGGTTCGCGCTTGCTCTTTTGCTATTTTGTAAAGTTCATTGGACTTTTGAGCTCGAATACTGTTCGTTTCTCAATATATTTCATGACTTCAAATGATTCTGAAAAAGCCGAAAATGTTAAAAAGCACACAACAAACAGAAAATGAAAAAGTATGTAACGACTAACTAAAGTGTCTCATGGCTGATTTTGGAAGTGCGTGCTATGACTTGTTTTATAATGTCCTCTGTGTTGTTCCTTCAAAATAAAAGTTTATTTAGAATTCAATAAAAACTGTAGGCCCCGCCCCTTTATGCAGCCTTAACAATGCTGCAAAGATGTATAAGTACAAAATAATGTCTTGTGTTCTTCATCAAGAGACAAAATGATTTCAATTTATCTGCAATTCGAAGAGTTATTTGAAGTCTAATTGCATCAAACTTTTAAGAAAAAGTTTTTGCTACAAAAAGGTTCATAAGGTATATCGGGACCAAAGGAGATGAATTATTTACTTCTCAGCGAACACAGTAAATTACATTTTGAAACATGCAAAGTGTCAAAAAGTACATGTGATAAGCCTTTCATAAAAGAATATTTAAATGAAAATTGTCTCTTTTTTAGTTATTAAAAAAATCAATATATTCAGCCCTACTCGTATTAAAGTACATATAAACGAATGAGTGAAAATTTAAACTTTCCCTATGCACATACCCATTCCCTAATAATGGCACATTAACTTTGGTTATGCAGAGCAGATCAGTTTTACAAAATGTCATGGTGTCTGTACACATTTAAGTTATTTACATAATTGTCTTAGGTTTTCTCTCAAAAAAAGAACAGGTATCTAAATATGATTTCTGTGTGGTGTAGATTTTATACATCTACCGTATATAATAGCCTTAAAAGAGCACAACCAGAAGCGGATACCATAACGTTGTAACATCTGCTTATTATTGGATGATAAGCTCTGAATGAATGACAGACGAAGTTAAAATTTTCTTGTTTTAAATTAAATTGATCAAGGTATGTTTTGCTTCTCAACGTCGAATGTTTCTATCAAATTAAATAAAACGTTGTTGTGCAATAAGAGTAACATTATAAAACGTTTATTTTAATTTACTATTATTTTGTATGTAAACAGTTCAATGAAAATATCTACAGATAACAGGAAAACAAATGGAAGTCTGTCAACCATTTGAAACAATGTCTTCCGATAGTAATGTAGATGAACAACGTGAGCGGGGTAGGTACTACTATCGTACTTACTCGTAGGTTAAGATTAACAATCACGTGAAGAAAGTGTCATCACATTGAATAAATCAATTAATCGTACACAGAAAAATAGGCAAACGCTACCGGTTCATCTCCGTGGCATGGATTTTATGATAAGACAGTTATTATTCTTATTTTCTGATTTATGTAAAAATGTATTGAAATAATAATTTTCGTTTACAAAAGTAAAGAAGTTTGCATAAAATAAATCTTGAGGATTAATTTCAGTCTTAAAGGTTTAAAATATATATTCAAGAATTTATTTGAACTAGGTGAAGTGAGTTTGCGAAAGAGAAAGATAATTTTAATAATTTTTGGAGTATTGCTGATACTGACCTTTGCGGCTTTCATAACGATTTTAGTCCTATACTTGACAGGTGGGATATTTACCCGTTAATGTGATTAATCGAGATTTTATATCTTTTAAGTAAAAATAAGCTAATATTATGTATATTGGGCTATAAGGTATTTTAATAAAAAAATTATTTTGATGAATATGGTACAATTTTAGGTAATATTTTCTTGTTATGTTTGAAAACTATTGGTTCGTTGGGATTTAATGTCTTTGGTGAAGAATTTCGTAGTAGTTATATATATGACAGTCTACATGTCGTGGTGGACGATTGAATACCCAGAAAACAACGAAAATTAACATACATGTAACACCCCAAACACCCCTCGAGATTTAGAGATTTCACAATAGACTTGGCATAACAACTGTTTTGCTTTTAAAGGCGCAGTTAGCAAGGTTGAAAACATAATAAAATGGTTTTTAACAACATCGGTAAACTTCTCCTCTATCAAGATGGTTTAGTTACTATTTCAATCTTATACAGGAGGCTAACTATGGGAGTGACCGATCGACAGGGGATGCCCATTTCTTCTACTCACCTGCATTATGCCACTTTTAGGAGTCTATTTTCAGGATTGGAGTTAGATAAAAGTCATATTCACCTACAAATCATTGAAGATTTTTTTATCCCATGTTTAATACTTCACAACCAATGTTTTACACTGTTTTGACATAGGACTCCACTTTATTTTACTTCATCACGCTAACACAAAAACTATTATGACGTCACAACTACCCTTAACTGTGGGATATCAAAAATTAATCAAATGAGTCATATCCACGGGATAAAGGGGTAAACATGGGATAAATTACAATAATCACCTGAGAAAACACAAATAATGGATTTTGTATTATTACTAGGTCAATTTAATATGTATACATGTACCTAACATTCACTCATTTTAGTGAAAGCATAAAAATATTTTAAAAAAGTCTTGTTCTTAACTGGAAAATAAAAATTATCTTTGGAAAATATAATAAGCTGGTCTTTAGCATATGATACCGTCTTATTGGTGATCTTTCCATGTAAATAATCGGTTCCTTTTAATTATCCAAATAGTTAACAAAGTACTTTTATAAAAATCTTTGGAGTTAAGAATATGAAAATGACTCACAAGAGTTCAACAGTGTAGGCAATAATTATCATTGAAAATCAATAAAATATATAAAGTTTTTGTTGCTTTTTTTTTCTAATTAATGGTAAGCAATGGTAGACACAAGCTTTTTTCTGTTCAATTAAGCTTTTTTTTTTGTCTTTTTGTCTTTTCCTATCATTTTTCCTCATGAAATATTATACTGTAAACCAGTTTTCATGTTTAATTAAAAGATGTAAGTTGAAGTTTTATTTTTAAAAGAAATATTTCTCGTAGATAAGCGGGGGAAATGATTAAATACTATGTCGAATGTCTGTTTTAAGTCTTGGTATTTTCTTCATAATAATTAACATTTATTTAACTTAATTGAAATAATTCTTATTCAAAATGCATTTTCAAAAAAGTGTTCATATTTATTTTTAGGGCAAAGAACAAAGGAACAAGATGAAGCTTTAAATCCAGGTACATTTTATTTCTTTACAAAATCCTCTCAAAATGATTTTTTTACATTACCGATTTAATGAAGGCGTGAATAATGGAATACATCGTATATAATTGAACTGGTATTTCAAGGATGATGCCTGATTGTCTAAGAAAAGGTCTTTTATGATTATATATTGAAAGTGCATTAATTCATTGAAAATCTTTTCCTTTGTTCCTGGGTTTAATGCCAATGACCTAAGTACATATTTAAGATGAAGAAAGGTGCCTCTTCCAAAATGATTAATTTCAGGGCCCCTGAGTCAGGGGTATCGGGGAGAGGGGGGGGGGTAAATAGTCTAAAACAAGGTCAAGGTCGACAGCCATGTAGCAAGTAGGTGTAAATAGAGCTCCGTGAAATATACTTAAAACAGGGATAATTCTACTCCAGCATACGTGAGTTTGTGTTAAAGTGTTATGTAGTGATCATAGTACCATATACTAGTAGGGGAATTGAACTTAAAATTTAAATCATGTAAAAATTCTGTCGAACATTTTTGTCAGAGTTAGTGAAGGCATGGTGAGTAGATCTCAGCTGGGATCTCCATTAAAATGCCAAAGCAAAATAAACACAACAAAAAAAGAGCAAGATTAAGTGAAGCAAGTGATTCCTCTATGGCTAACTCAGATAACGATCTTCACAAACTAGATGAATTATTAGAAAGTTTCTCGCATGATGAAGAAACTGCTAGAAAAGCTGTGAGCATTATCCTTAATAAAGAAGTGATAAAAAATGTCATCTCAGAAACATTTGCTGATAAAATGAACATTATGCAATCACAAATAAACCAACTAGAGACACGTCTGGATGATTTAGAACAGTACTCAAGAAGAAACTGTCTAAAATTAACTGGAATTCCAGAAAATAAAGAGGAAAATATCGATGAAATTGCAATGAGGGTCATTAATAAACTCGTCCTATCTCCAGAAAATACTTCCATTGGCTTTGACAAGATTGGACGGACCCACCGTGTGGGCAGATTTCCAGGTAAAACCAATAATGCGGCCGGACCCCAGCGACCACGGGACATTATTGTCCAGTTCCTATCATATAGAGATCGAGCCATGGTATACGCCCATAGAAGTAATCTTAAAACCTTCAATGATAATGACGCAAACGGTTACAAAATCTTCGTTAACGAGGCCCTTACGAAAAGAAGAAGTGACTTATTGTTTCAGGCGAGGAAATTCGCACGGGAACAGCTGATTGACTCAGCATGGACCTATGACGGGCGAACGATTGTAAAAACGCTGAATGATAAGAAAGTAACAATTAACTGTCTCAGTGATTTGCAAAAACTAACCGCCCCGAAGCCACAGACGTCCACACCAGCTCCCCAGTACGGGTAAACTACCAGTATGCACAACTCATATTGTTGAGTGGTAAGACTTTAGTGTATGGGGATTTCCGTGTCTATTTATAGATCAGTGGAAGGTTTAAATAAATAACATTCTGATCATGATTACATGACTTGACTTAATTTGCGTTTAAGCGTTTTCTATTCATCATAGAAATTATAAATTATTAAACACGTCTAATCAATGATTTTCTAATCATTTTGATATTTTACGGAGCAACAATGCTCATCTTGTATACATGTACTTACATGTAATGAGGTTTTTGTACATACTTCTCATTATAGAGATATCTCTACTTCGTATTGCTTGTCATTACAATACGAAAGATGTCATTCCTTCAAGACATTTCTTTTCTTATTTAGTTTGTATATATATTTTTTCTTGTTTTGTTTTTTCGCACACTTATTTTTCTAGTAATTGTTCGGATTTGGTTCTGTGTTTAGTATTCTTCCATGTATATCCGGTTTTATACAGATTTCCACGACCCATGGCTTTGCTCGCTATCTTCCTTGAATATATTCTTATTTTTGACACCAATGATTGAATTTGTGAATAGTATATCTAAGCCATGGATAGTAAGTAGTTTTTTATTTATCCCTTTGTATGTCGCCAACTGCAGTGATAAATATTCTAATATTCATTATCATGTCACTGTGGTTCGCATTCTTCTAATACTTGGATGCATTGAAACAAACCCAGGTCCTTCAAATAATATGAGACTTAGTTCATTGAAAATAGCACACAACAATGTGTGCAGCTTATTACCAAAACTTGATATTATAACTGCAGAACTATCACATTTTGATATTGTAACAATTAGTGAAACACATCTTGCTTAAATATCTTAAGAATGTTAAAATACACACTTAAGAGGGATGCTTTGATAAAAATATATTTTGCTTTTATTCGTCCTGTTCTTGAATATTCAGATATTGTATGGGATAATTGTACTGAAAGAGATGCAAAATTACTTGAAGATGTTCAAGTTGCAGCTGCACGAATAATAACCGGTTTAAGAATCAATTCATCAAGATCAAAGCTTTATGAAGAGCTTGGCTGGGATAATCTTGAAATAAGAAGGAAAATACATAAACTAGTTTTATTTTATAAAATAGTGTATGGATTAGCACCCCAGTATTTGCAAGATTTATTACAACAATGCATTCTTCCAGATAATTCTTATCCCTTAAGGAATCAGGACAATCTTACATTTCATATTCCACAAGCCAAAACAACTTCATTTATGAAAAGTTTCCTCCCTTCAACTATAAGACTTTGGAATGATTTACCATTTAATATCCGAAACCTTTCTTCACTTACATCATTCAAGACTGCCATAAAGAATATATACTGCATAAAACCTAAGAAATATTACAATATGGAAGTCGTAAAATGAATATATTGCATTGTCAGTTGCGAAATAATGCTAGTAATTTAAATGCTGACTTATTTAATCATTTTTTAAAGAAAGATAAAAGTTGTGACATGTGCGGGTTTAGTTCAGAAACATCATATCACTATTTTATGAATTGTCCAAAATACTGTATGCAAAGACAGAACCTAATACAAAACTTTAATACTTTGCAATTACCAATGCCTTTATGTTTACAACTTATTCTAAATGGAGACAATAATCTTACATACAACCAAAATATTGCAATATTTAAACTTGTTCAAGAATTTATTGCAACTACAAAGCGATTTGCATGATATTCTATCTGCTTTTGTTTTTCAATTGTCAAATCACAGAACCAAAACCTGTTTATGTTTTCTTATTCATTTTTTTAAATTTATACAATTATTAATATAATTGTCAGTCATATATGTTAAAATATAAATTTAAATTATATTATCAGCTCATATATTTCTCTTTTTTTTTTGTTCTCCTTAATTTGCCTTGTCATATACATTTCTACTGAATATATGCATGTATATATTTATATTTTTCAATGTTATATTAATAATGTTTACTTATACATGTATGATTTTGACCTTGAATTGTGGAAAGGACTTATATAGGCAGTGCCTGCTGTCCAATCCAATTATGTTTATTCATAATAAAATATTGCTTAAATTAAATAGTCTGAAAATAAATTAATGCTTTGAAATCTGCTCTTTGGTGTAAATCAATCATTTATGATGAAATTAAATTTATGATTTAATTTCCAAAATTTTGAAATATGTGGCCCTAGAGTCAGTGGTTCCTGTGCGTTCGGTGCACAACTGGTGGTTATAATGTGGAAATGCATTTTTTCTTTAATTGATGCTCTGATCTATCTCTGAGTATTTAGTAACCAAAGTAAGCATGCTAAGTGTATAGTTATGAAAGGCAATGATGCCTCTTTCAAAATTGTGAATTCACGTTCACATTGACTAGAAGCTGTTACATTGGCTCTTCAATTAATAGTGGCTTACTCGAAGGTTGATACCGGTATATGGAATTTGAAATATGAATCACATCAATAGCCAATGCAGAGAATTTAAAAAATGTAAATATAAGCAATGAATCAATATTTTTGAAGAATAAATTCTCAAAACAGCAACGGTGTGCTCAAACAAATTTAATAATGCGAGTCAGCACGTTACTCAATTTGTTTGCACAAACCGATGCAGTAATGATACTGTATCTTTCAAAATATAACGAAAAATTGCTTAAATGTAGGTTGGATATGATAAATATTGTGCAAAAAGAAAATCTTAAGAGAAATCCTTTCATACTTTTTATTTGAACCGAATCTGCTTACTGGTCAAAAGTCCCCTTTAGGTTTTAGCCTATAGGCCATTACAGTCAATGTAAAAACAGAACTACCACATTTTACTTCGTACAAGACAAAAGACTGTTTAATCGGTGAGACGGAACGTTTTATAAGAATACTTTTACGGGACCCTCAACAAGGTAAACAATTTATTTATTGCGACATTCAACATCGATGTATTAATGTGTATGTTAAAGGAATTTTCCTAATTACACGGTACTCTTCATTTTCCCCCTAACTCCTTCTCAACTGTTTTGGCATTATATCTTGAAATTGTGACATGATTGTATACTTACAGTCTACTTGATTCGTATAATATTTAAGATAAGTAAAATTGATGCAAAGCATCAAATAGGCCGCAAACAAAATTTAGCATTTCAAAAAGTACTTTCACATTTAAAAGCATCCATGCAAAGAAAGCACAAGATATTCAAAGTTGAAATAGTGATCATTTTTATTTCAGGCTGTCTTCAAACTCAAAGCAAAATGAATAAATAATTTTTAAAAATTAAATCGAAATTTTAGTGCATCAAATGGATTCATCGATGTTATAACGTCAATGTATAATGATAATAATTTATTGTCATCAAAATGAAGATTCAGGTCTCTCAAGATGAACCACGTGCTGATACCCTAGATCTTTGTCACTTGATTATGCTCATAATTTCTGCAGTAAGTTATGCTGCAAGGCGCGGTGCAAAATGTATAAAAAAATATCCCTGTGTCATTCGCAGCTGTAGCATAATCAAAACAATTTTACTGGTTCAACAACTTTTCAATTTTGTATTCACCATGAACTTTTATCACGTCATTTTACTTAGTAATCAGGAAAATCACGACGATTTCCCTTCATATCTTACACACTCCTAGGCTGGGGAGTAGCTAGTGTAAACTCTTTTTATTTCACCATAAATTATCAATTATGTGACGAGAAATGATTATGAAATTGAAACATAATAACAACAATTAATAATAAGTTTAAAACAAGTTTTAAAAATATTTTACTCATGAATTTATACATGTTATCATTTAAGAATTATTTAACAGAATAATAGAAAATAACATCTCATTTCCCCATGTGCACTTTCTAACACAACCACAAATAGATCGACCGCTGCTGCGGCCGAAAAAAACGAACGATTTTTAAAGGATGGTACTCATGGTACCTGAGTCACAAATTTTTATTTAATCCAAAAACTTACCCTGGCAGTCTGATTCACATAAAGAAGACCATATAGTTGATTTACTGACCTGTATGTCAACAAATGAAATTAAAATTATTTGAAAAACGACGAAAATATCATCCATGCAAATGACTTATTTCTGTGCTTCGATTGCTTGTTAATAATCATTTTACGACCTTATCTATCTTTCCTGCAAAATCTAATGTGAAAAAAAAGTCTCCTATTTTATAACTACCTCATTTTCCATTTGTCCTTTTTTTCTTTTTTCTAAACTAATGAGCTTTCTTTTTTTCATTTCTTATATACCTTTCCTGGACTTTTCTTTCCAGAAAACAATGACAGATAACGACTATCATCTGTAACACATTGATTCTATTCCTGACTTACTTTGGAATTTGGTTCCTTCCTTTCTTCCACTTGACATCGCTGTGGTCTTTCAAGTATAACAAAACTTTTTATTCTTTACTCTTTTTGCTTTCTTATGAACTATTTAATTTTGAAAATAGACTTGCTCAAGTCTCTATGTTTTTATTGTTTATTTTTTTATGAATATTTTTTTAAAATTCTTTATTCTTATTTGTATTGCTCTCCTTTGCTCTCTCTCATAGTTAAATGTTATCAAACATAGATCTATGTTTGACATTATCAAAAAGTATGAAAGAGAGCACTAAAACATAAAGACTTGAGCAAGTCTATTTTGAAAATAAAGGTCCAAGAAATAAGTGAAAAATTTTGACCTTAACTCATGTACAATATACAACGTATCAGACCTAGAAATTTCCATTTTTTCAATATGTTTTCAGACAACCGTGTGCCGGATGCGAGGCTATCAAATCTGCAAGGTTTAGTTTTTATTTTACCTAGATTTTAAAAAAAAAACACATGGTTTTAAGGATATAGTCACAATATGATCAAATTAACATATAAATCAGCTAGGGGGTGCATAATCTTTTAAAACCAAGTACATATATAGATATTTTAATGGTATTTAAAATCAAGTTTTTAAATGATTATATACTTTTTGACTACATGTTGTTAGATTTTTTTCGGT